TGCGTCCTAGCGACCACGTAACAGTGGGCTGTCTCTTCTCGTCGCGCGCTTAGATTCGCGCAAATTGGCCGATCTTCTTTAATTAATTTCTCACAAATTATTGCGAAAATCGCAAAACGGTAGAGGACTCTTCTACTCGGTTCAACCCGCTCTACCTGTACACGAGAGGTGATTCACCTTGTGCGAGACACCCTGTATATATGATTTTAATTTTCTCGCACGTAAGCATGAAAAAATTCGCCATTCTTGATCGAGATCAAATTTCAAGTGCATTTCGATTATAATTTCAAGCGTGTCAAAGTATTTGTAATATCGTATACACAGGGCTGGGCAAAAAGTATTTGAAATACAAAATACAAAATACTGTCAATCTTACAATTAGTATATTTTGATAGAAGATGGATAGTATTTTATATTTTGTATTCGATAGAAGATTGATAGTATTTTATATTTTGTATTTCAAATACTTAACGATGTATTTGGCCCAGCCCTGACTAAAATTGACAGTATTTTGTATCATGTATTTCAAATACTCAACGATGTATTTTACCCAGTCCTGCATATACATATATTATATTAATCTTCCAGCCGCTTGCAACATGGTGGTAATACAGGTACTGCTTTCTTCAATCGAGTACGAGAGTAATCACGTCCCAGAGACTTTTCCGAAAGGAGCATTAATGAAATACGACTACTCTTTTATTCTCGCATGGATCGTATTCTTATGCAATCTGCTGGCCGGACTCGCCTTTATGCTTTTTTCAAAGAAGAGAAAGAGGGATAAAGCACCTACGGAAGAAATAGCTATGGCTGATGAACCGACAATAATAGGACGTTAAAATTTTCCTTTTACCGATGTTCTTTTTCTCGTTGTTGTTGTTGTTGTTGTTGTTGTTACTGTTGTTGTTATTGTTGCTGTTCTTTTTATCGTTGTTATCATTGTTATGTTGTTAATATGACTATTATTGTTATTATTGATATCAATGTTAATAATTGTTAATAATTATTGTTAATAGTTGAAACAGATATACTCGAATGAAAATAAAAAACAATATTAAATGAAAAAGTATGTTTTATACAACATGTCGCATGACTTTTTTTTCTATCACGACTGTTATCTTTTTTTTTTTTTACATACTAAATAATTTGTTTTCACTAGAAAACGCTGCTAATGAAACAATGTTGATAGAAAGAAGTTGAAGTTCACTGCAAATTTTACGAATTTGTGACGCTGGAGTCGTCTGTTTTGCCACATTTCAATTTTCTAATTCGCATGGCTTTTTTTTTTATTTTTTATTTTTTATTATTGCTTCAATAGAATCACAAATCCTTTTATGTGATTAACGTACACCTGGTCACACTAATGCCTCAACACATGAAGTTGCACGAGTGTCAAGGCATATCGAGTCGGCGTGTTCCGACTCTACATATTTTTACATCATGGCTGGTTATGAACACAACGGCAATGCTGTTTTGACTATTTCAAAGCAACTGGAACAATTGACAAATAAAG